TCTGTTATTTTTGATGTGAAGAAGGTTAAGGAACAAGCCTGAGGGGGGGTTGGGTAGAACTTTGGGACTGAGTGACGACTCTCCAAACCTTGCACCCACAACAAGCAAATGGCCACAGCTGCAGATTGAGGGTGGAGTGGTTGGACTTCAAAGGGCATGGAGGTTTTACAGTGAAAACAACAACAAAATCTAAAACCATCGCTCCCCCAAGAATACTTTATTTGGGTCACTCCAGGTACAGAGTGGATTGGGCAATTTAACTTTTCTGGAAAAGCTAGAGCTGCATCTGGGGGTGGAGACCTCAGTCCAGGTTTCAGTACACTGAAACATCCAAGGGCTTGTCTACACTAGGGAGGGTTTTCTGGTATATTTATTTCAGCAAACCCCCTAGACGAGGCACAGCTTATATCAGCAAAACAGTTCTAGTGCTTGTATAGCTTATGCCAGTTCCCCACATGAAATAAACTATACTAGTGAAAAGGCTCCTAGACTAGGGCTTCAGATGGCATAGCTACATAGATTAGGGGGTGATATTTAGTGGTAAGTATACTGCCCTCGGGGATAAACTCAGCCTAGAGCCTTTCCATAGGGGTCTGGATTGGCACAGTCACCTGCACATGGAAGGCAGCATTGTGCTGCTAGCTGAAGAACCTCAGCATTGTATGGTTGCACTTCTACAGCACCTTCCATCCAAGGGTTGCAAAGCCCTCTACAAGCCTTAATGAGCCCCCCTGTGTGAGGCAGGTAGATTAGAAAGGGGGCAATGATACCACACATTCAAGGGGAGATTGGAGCAGAGACATTAAGGGCCTGATTCTCAGAGGTTCTGGACTCCACTGTAAAGTGGTGAAAGAGTTTGGAATCAGGCCTTTACAAGGCCTAGCCTAAAGTCACACAGGAAGTCAGGGCCCAAAAGTCCTTCCTCCCACTGCGGTGCTTTAGCCACTAGCCCATACTCCTTTGCATGTCAAAGAGCCAGCAGAATCCGTAGCTAGCAGGGTCAGGATAGGGCTGAGTTTTCTTCTTTGCCCTGGATCTCAGAGCTTTGAGTATTCCACTTCCCAGCCCCATTCTAACCTACGTCTTCTCCCTTACGCCTCCAGGCTTGTGCCCAGACCCCATCACTACATTGCTAAGATAACCAAAGCAAAGGAAGAGCAGATGGGACCCACCTTTCACCTTCATAGGCCCTATGAGAGTGACACACTCTGCAATCCTGAGTATGCCACTCCTGAGCTCAGCAGAAAGCACTGCCTTTAATTATCTGGACCAGGAAGCACCCTTTCTTTCTCAGAAGCTGAGGTGCTGCCCATAAGGCAAACCCAGGCACTGCAAGCAGGAAACGGGACCGGCAGTTGAACCTGTTTTCCCACATGCCAATGCAGGGTGCTGCCCACTAGGTAGCAGGCTGTCCTCATCAGGAAAGAATTTGCTTTGAAAGAAGAACAGGCAACTCCCTGAGAGTGGTGCTGGAGCCTGCTGCCTTGTGCACACAACTGGCAGCAGCCAGGCAAGCTTCTCCCCCTCTGCCCCGGAGGGACTGCCTCTAGGCACTCAGCCCCCAGCATTTGGCGCCTCTGGTGAAATTGCCAAGTAGGGCGCCAGCTGCAAGGGTGGTTTGTGCAATAAAGAGACCTAACCACTAGAAACGGCAGTAAGGCACCCAAACTCATTGCCCATAGATCACCAAGCAGTGTCAGATGCTGCTGATTTGGACCAGATTATAGCTGGGGACCTGGGGTCCAAAAAGCTCTTCACTACGTTTTGTTTCCAGTTTCTTTGATTAAGTCTTTCTTATTTCTCAGCAGTTATGCAGGGGACCAAGATCACAAAGGCCAAGTAAACCGGCTTGGCCCAGGAGGTCACTGCAGGATTGGACAGGGCAACATCAGCCTTTCCTACAGCATTAGCTTTGGCTAGTGCATCCACAGTCATGGGCCCACATGCCCAACCCATGGACCTCTCTTGGCCTAGCCAGCTGCTCTTTATGCTCCACATGGTTACAGTAGAAGCTGCTGGGAAATGCTGCTCTCCAGCATGAAGGGAGAGCAGCCCTAAAGCAATTCAGACAGAAGATCTTCCCAAATAACTCTTTACAAGTTGACGGCACAAATGGAGCGCAGAAGGCCACTACGTCCACCACTGAATTCCCAGTTCTGCTGATCATCTGCTTCAGAAACTCAAGTCCTGCGCTGAGCCCCCAGCCCAAAGGTAGGGTAAGTTTAGGAGCAGGAACTCCAAATTTCTTGCAGCAAATTGACATGTTGGTTCAATAGAACTGTGTGTTTAATCCCCAATATCCTAATGAACAAACAGACTGGAGGCCACATTCTGCCAAGGCTGCAGAGCTAGCTGCAGTGTTTATCCATCGCCAGAGTTTATGTTTCCCTGTCTGTTTGTCCTTGCCCAGTCTTTACGTGCATGCATTAAACTGCTGCTTCCCTGCCCAGCGATATAACTCATGCATGTTACCCATCCAGTGCTGGAAGAGCCATGAGGACAGAGCAATCAGAAAGGTGTCCAAAAAATCCAAGGGTAAAACAGACATTCCTTTAGTAATACAGGCCCTGGTAAGCTAGCTGGCAAATGCAGAGACAGGGAACTGCCTTGTTCTCAGAGAGCAAGGCGCTGTCAAGCCCTGAAAGCTGGCCCACAAACAGAAAGAGCTTCAGAGTTCGTTATTCCTTTCATTTGGAATTTATTTTGTTTTATATTTCCCATGAATTTATCAGTGATTATTTAAAGTTATAAAAGGGGGTGGAAATCAGTACCAAAAAAAAAAAAAAAAACACTTTACAGTTTTCTGGGTAACTATTGGGTCAATACTGGGGGACAGGAGTACAAAAAAGCAGCATTTAGAGAAATGTAAAAGCAGTTTAATGCTGTGGTTTCTTTAATGAGCTGTATATTAGCTGTATGTACACTTACAAATACACATATGTATCTTCCACTGCGTTGCCTTAGTTTAAAAGCCACATATTTACACTTAGACTAACATTAACACAACAGATCTACCTACGGTAATGTACTGGATTTTCTTAATAATCAATACATTCCTGTACTTGAGGGGGTTCAAATTTGGGACAGAAAACAAGTCAAAACCAAACAATAGCTTTTGTAAAACCCAGGGATTTTTCAGTTAAAATAAAGAATCGTTAAAAACTGAAAACAAATGGCCTTAGTTCTCCCCCCGCAGCACATGGTCCCTGAATAGGGTTGGGAGACAGCTATTAAATATACAGGAGATCTCTGTCTAAAGCGGTGCAAGAAGAAGGTGCAGCCGCCAGAGGGGAAGAAATACTCCTTCCTAGTCCTCTGCCACACTGGGCCTAATTCTCCCCAGCCCTACTGCAGGCTGTTTGCATGAGATCTTTAAGCAGGGATGTACTTTTCACAGGGGAGAACAGAAAAATAAAACCAGACTGAAACCCTGTCCTCTGCAGTACCCAGCACCTGGGACCAAGCTCTCGGATTCTCCAGTAAGCATCTTACACTGGGCCCCATTCCTCCCCCTGTTAAAAGTTGTAACCGGTAATTGTGAATGGAGTGCATTTAATTCATTTGTGTGTGGGAAACGCCCAAATCTCCACTTCAGCCAACCCTCCCCATCCCCTCTTCACGGGAAACCTACAAGAAGCCTGCAAAATGAGAGCTGTGTTACACAGCAAGGAAAACCAAATCAGCTAAACTTCCTGAGTGTCAATTTCAGGCACTTCAGACTCACTTCCAGGGACAGCTCTAGGGGTAGTCAAGCCAGGCAGGCGTCCCCTGGAATGGCCAGAGTTCAGATGAGAAGAAAAGAGGGACAAATTCACCAAAGGGCTCACTCAGTGTTCTTGTCCAGGTTTGTCAGTTGCATCCATGTCTTTCCTCCTTGAGTCCCATCCACCCCATCCCTCATTCTACTTTCTGCACCCAGGTTCTGGCTTCCCCTCTAAAATCAGTGAGGTCTTACTGGATCCCCAAGTGCTTTACAAAATATCAGGCCAGATCCTCAGCTGATGTGAATCAATTTAGCTCCATTGACTTTGCTGGAAAACTGCTGATTTACATCAGCGTATGATCTGGCCCAAACAACATACCAAATAAACAAAAACAAAAAAACCCAAACCCTTTGCCTACCCCCATCCGCCTGCCAGTTCTTCGGTGGAAGGTGGCAGCTGTGTAAGGAATATCACCCTACAGTTAGGGCAAAAAGCAAAGAGCACCCTATCTAGGGGGAAATGCAGGGGAATTTAAGGAAACAAACTTTAGCTCTCCAAGTTGGAACATCGGGGTTCTCAGAAGCATGGGATGTTCAGTGACCCCAATCCGTGGGGACCTCCACATGGCACTTCCCTGAGCCCAGTGCCCCACACCATACTGGGGGGCTGGGTCCCCAGACTCAGAGGGGAGCACGGCACCCCCACCGGCCCTTCCCAGGCGGGGCTCTGGAGGTGGGAAAGCAGGCGGCGCAGGAGGGAACGCGGTCAGGTAAGAGCCTTGCCATTGGGGGCTCGCCGTGGCTAGGGACTGAACTACAGCGCACAGAGGAACCGAGCTTGTCCCGGACGGTGTCCAATGAAGGCCTGGCCCGGCCGCCTTGGCATGCAGGAGGGAGCATTTCCCCAGGGCGAGCGCGGTGGAGACTCCTTGCAGAGAAGCGCACCCAGCCTTGCAACTCCCCCCTCAGGCCCCACCACTTGCCAAATCGGCCCCTCGCTAGCCATCACCGAGCCACTGAGGGCCCGATCCTCAGCGAGCACCCCCAGCAGCCTCCGCCCTGCGCCGCCCCGGGCAGGGACACTCCACTTGTGGCATCCCCTTTCGGCCAGGTTGCGTGGCTGGTCCGCCAGGGGGAACCCGGGGCTCGACCCCCCCGCCCCAACCGCGCTGTGCCAGGAGCTCCCCGGCTCTCCCTCGGGCGGGGCTGCACCCAGCGCACGGGGCTCGCAGCGAGGCCGGCTCCCGGCAGCGCTCTCCGTGGTGCTGAAAACCAGCGGGGGCCGCCCCGGACTTACCGGCAGCAGCTGCAGCCAGGCTCCGGTGCTCCGCGGTCCCGGCTCCCCCGCGCCCCTCTCCTCCCGGGGGGCGAGCAGGGACAGCAAGTCGGGCGGCCGGCTCCGGCGGCGGCAGGTGCCCTGGGGATCGGCGGCTCCCAGCTCCAGCCGGCTGCCCCTGCTCAGCCTGCCGGCGCGCAGCGCAGAGCCCCGGCGCAGGCTGCGGCGGAGGGCGCCCGCGATGGCTCGGCTGTGGCTGGCTCTGGCTTAAATTTCAGCAGCATGGCTTCCCCCCCCCCCCGCCCCACTCCCTGCCCGCCCCCCGCCGCCTCTCCCGGCCTGGCCCCGCACGCAGCCCCCTAGCGGGCACGGGGGGAGCCTGCACCGGCCCCGGCCGAGCCAGCGCCAGGAGGGAGCCTGGGGCAGGGACTGGCGCTGGGGGATGCCCCCCGACACCCCCGTTTGGGAGCCATCCGTGGGTCCCCCCAGCGCGGGGAGGGGAAGAGAAGCGCCTGGGTTTGGACAAGGGCTTGGGGAACAGCTCCCCGGGCACTCCCGGAATAAGGGGGCTTGGGGGGGGGGGTAAATCCCGTGCCCTCCCTGGCTCGCCGGGGAAGAGCCCGCTCAGGACTCCCTGCAGCCATGTGATGGGGTCTCTAAGGCAGCTGGGAACGAGTCTGTGTCCGGCAGACGGCCACCATCACTACACAGGGCACACGCCCCTGGGAGCTGGGACCAGCCCCCCTCGGCCGCGAAAGGCCCGCTCCCGATTGAGGCGAACAAGATCTGTCTCGTAGCTACAGTTAAGCATCAGACCCTCCACTCCTGCTACATCACCAGCCTGGGACCTGGATTGGATTCCTGGCTCTTCCACAGGTTTCCTATGAGACATTGGGGTAAACTGCTTAAGCTGCCTCGCGAGTTCCCAGCTGTAAAATGGGGACACCGCCTCCTACTTCCCAGGGGCCTTAAGAGGCTAGAATCCATGATCGTGAGCTGCTCAGACACTGCCCGTGAAGTCCAGCTGGATACAGGTAGGTTCCTTCCCCTCTGTGTGGGCCAGCCAGTAGAGAAGCCCCAGCAATGCACAAAGCTAGTAGGCGACTAGCAACCCAAGGTGCCTGAAGGCAACATGAGAGCAAGTGAACCCCCTCCCCGCACACTGATCTTCTAGGTGACCTGGGCCAAAAGTCGTATCTTATTTTCCTTCCCATCTGCCATTTCAAGTTCCTTTTACATTTAGCAACTGCTCTCATAAATCACAATGGAGTAGAGCTCGGGAAATTTTTCTATCCAAATCTTTTAACAAGAAATGCCCCCCAGATTCAGCAACAAACATTGTGAATTTGTGCCAATTTTGAAAAAAACACATTTAAACCAAGACAAGAGTTGAAATGTTTCATTGACATTTTCAAAATTAACATCTTGATTTTTCCATTCAAAAATGACGACTTTTCAGTTTGACGTTTCCTTCCATTTTATTTTTCAAAATGCTGAAGTTAAACAATGCTCAAATTTAAAAAAATGTTTGGGGTCAAATCATATATAATTTTCAGAATTGCCAATGACCCAAATAATTCAGGATTCACCTAGCTGTTCTACAGAGTCTTGCACTCGCACCCACTGAAGCCAATGGAAACACCATTAACACTGATCTGTGCCGGATCACGACTTGTGCCATTGAAAAGCTGGGAGACTCCATGGCTTCAGGTAATATAAATGATTAGCTTTAAATACAGAAATCCCCAAGATATTGCTCCCCGGGGGCCTAATTCAAAGCCTACTGGTGTCAATTTGATTTCAATGGATCAGGCCCTAAAATTTTCTGTTTAAATTATTTGATTTCCATCTTTCTCCCCCCACCCAAGCTAATAATACACTATAGAATCAATAGCTTGTATTACAGGAAAACTGAAATTCTCAGCATGATAAAGCACATCTCGTCCCAGTGGACATGAGAATTTGGACTTTCAGCCAAATGGGGAAAAGTTTTGAAGTCTCAAAAATTCTCAGGATGTGAAAACTGTTCCCCACCCAGCACTATGACCGAGGGCAGGACACCGGACTTTTCTTTCCTCTCTCATCCTTTGTTTTGTGAGTGTTCTTCGGGGCAGGGACTATGCATATGCACAACACCCAGCCCAATAGGACCCAGCTCTCAGCTGAGGCCCCTTACCAGTACTGTAACCACTAATGGCCTGCTTTGCCAGAGGAAAGGAAAGGCTGCCCAACAGCAAGGTGGAGCATCTCAGTTGGTTTGGAAGGAGGCTTTTACTACGGGTCAGTTGCCAGCAATGCTCAGCTGTTAGCTGCCTGCTGTGCATCTTCACACCTCATTGCAACAGGAAATTCCCTGCAACGCTCCCCCTGTACACGACCCTGAGGGTTTTATGCATGCGGCCCTGTAAACAAACAGCAACAGAACAGCAGCTAGTGGCTGCGGCAATTAGGAAAATCATGTTTAAGGCAGAATCAAATCAGCTGAATGAGGTAGTTCAGTTCTCGCTAGGCAAACACCCCAGCAAGTGAGTTAAGAAGCAAGTCACTTCTTCACTAGCACAAAACAAGCAGGACACAAGAGTCTCTGTGATCACAACTCCTCGTTCAGTTTGCTGGGAGGTTTCCAGTCACAGCAGCCAGTTTCTTCCACATCTGCCCAACTGGGCAGAAGAATCAGTGGAAACCAGTTTCCACCCCTAACCCCAGAAAACACCAACTTTTAATTCCCCTGGACAGAATGCAGTCTGGCACTTAGAGCAGGGACTGGGCCTCAGGACACCTGGGTTCTGTTGCCAGCTCTTCCAATGTCCAAGATGTTGAATAAGTCCCTTAGTCTCAGTGAACTGATCTGTAAAATGGGGTTAATCAGGCTAAACTCACCAGACTAGACTAGTTACAGAGAGGAAGCATTGATCTTGGGCCTCCAAAGATCAGCATTCTAGTGACTGAGTAACTGTTGTGGTTCCTCACTTGAAAGATGGGGATTATACATTTTCCTCCCTCACACATTTACAGTGTAAGATCTTTGGGGCAGAGACAGTCTTACCTTGTGCCTAGCACTGCTAGGACCTTGGCAGTACTATTTTAGTAGCACCTAATGCTGTTTTTAAAAGAGCTTGGTTAGGTTTTTAAAGGCTTGGAAAATACTGCGTGTTCCCAATGAGGACTATGCAGTGTCCACCACAGACAGCTCCTGTGGAACACACCCTATGTTTTACCTGGGGCAGAGTGTATACTGGGGCAGGACAGCCTTAGGGTAGGCAGCTGGGAGGGGGATTCCCAGCACAGCTTGACAGACACATACTAGCTCTGCTCAAGATAGCAGTTTTGCCACTGAGACAGCAGCAGAGGCTCAGGCTAGCCCCCTGCATACATCCCCAGAAGGGTCAGTTGGGCTTGTACTGGGCAAGCATGGGCTAGCTACCTATGGCCACACTGCTTCTTTTCATGCACTAGCTCGATCAGGGCTGGCACAATGTCTATTCATGCCAGGAAGTGCCCTTGCAGCTGCAGTGTAGATGTACCCTTAGTCACTTCCCACAGACCATCAGCAGAGCTAAGTGTATTGAACAAAGCTGCTAATTCTTTTAGCTCAACCATGAGGCTTAGAGTACTAATTATAAGCTCCCAGTAACCTGTGACTTAACAGTCAGTGCTTTGGCAAGCACTTCCTTACTCAGAAAAGTCACTTGGTTGGCAACTGCCTTGGACACACACAGTTGTGACAAGTGCAAAGCAGGGAGGTGAGGCCTCTGCTGCCCCCTCTCTAGAGATCTGTGAAGATGGCAATCTGGACACCATGTTCCTCCAGTCCCAGACTAGACAATAAGAGGTTAAACAGGAGCCAGTGGAATGAGCAGCTCCCCTAGCTGAGCAGAGAGATGTTCTCACATGAGCTCACTCAGACATGTTCCATCACGGAGGGCCTTGGTACAAGGCACGGTACATAAAGCCAGCTTAGCACACACTCTCCCTCACAGACAGAGACACAGCCAGCTCTGAAGCTCCCAGCCAAACAGCTGAGGGTCACAAGTGTTCAATCCAATGGATGGGTGCCATTCTGTAGACAGCAGTGGCTGCATAAATACATGACTGTGGTCAGCGGCCAAGCACATACAGTCAGACTTGGCACATCTTGTCCCTCACACACAGGCTCCCATCTAGTGAATTAAAGGAACAGATCCTCGTATTCAGTGGATACAGAGGACTTTTCGAGCAGAACAGCCTTGTTTTAGGAGTAAGCGCCCTGAGCACGCACAAAAACCAGTTAGTCACAGACCCATGTCCATGGAGGATTCTAACCCAGGCTCTAGTGGTTTTCCATTCAAATGTCACAGATGGAAGCTCCAGCAGAAAGCTACTGTACAAACTGGCGCATATCAAGCAGGGAGGCCTCTTGCCAGGGGTGATCATTATTTGTGCACTAGAGAATGAGCCGGAGCTTCCAGACTGAATTAGCAGAAAATTAAACATATGTCTCCATTCACCAAGGTAAAGAAGGATACGTGGATCCATTCTGATTTCATCTATTTCAATTACTGTCAAGGACATACTGAGTCTATCCCGCAGGAGCACAGAAATCCAGGTCACGCTTGTCAACTGGCTTCCACACTGGGCTAGTCTTAAAACAAGGACTTGTGGGACTCTGCACTTTGAGGCTCTGCCTTGCCTTGTTAGCCTGAAGCTCAGTCTGCTCCCCACATCTGGTAGGGGGGCTGGAGGAACACAAAACTCACAGCCCTGCTTCTCCCATGACCTGGCAGGCTGGTCCCAGATATGCTTGCACTACTGTAGAAATCCAGACTGCCGTTACCTCCATGTGTCTCCTGGACTGGACAGCTATGCCTGCCTCAGATGGACTAGGATTAGGAAGATGGTCTGCCTGTCAAAGCAGCTTTTAATGGCTATTAGCTAAACGTAACCTTAGCCCCGAACACCACATTGGCATCACCAATGTGAGTTACATGCTCCCTACCCCAGCAATCTATTACACTTTTTATATACACAGTAACAACAGCCCCCCCTGCTGGCATGAAGAATTCACACATCTAGAGTTCTCATACTGAAAACTGTACAGGAAATTGCCTTTTCTATCTTTGAAGCATGTGCTACTAGAGAAGCTGTGTGGTTCTGGGGACTGAATACAGGGCTAGGAACCATATTCCAAGTACCAATCCCAGCCCTAACAGGGAATCACTGTTGACCAGGGTGCATGGACCTTTCAGTGCCTCAGTTTTACCATCAC